TTCAAATATCATTGGTCTAGACTTAGATTAAATTTCTTGGAAGACTTTCAAACCTGGTTTAAGAACGACCTTGTATGTTTTAAAAGTAATGAGGAAGAAAGGCTTAATATTTAAAATGGATTGGAGTGGTGGGGTTAACTAAGCAAGATAAAGCCACTTTGGCCAAGAATATTGAAGACCAAAGAATTTTTGGGTTTGTGTGGAGTCCTCGAGGGAGAATAAATCACTTTGTGATGTTAAAGTGATTTGAAGTTTATAAAAATTTTCTAATGGCTTTGGCAAAGGAAGCAAGAGCAAAACAATGACTAGGCCTAGTGGTGGCTATACTGGGTTGAGAGCCAAGTTTTTGGTTTTATGTTTTTATTTGTTCAAAATGGATTGGCTTCGGTGGCAAAAGACACTTGGGCGAGGTGAAGTAAGTGTTCAATATACTTCTGCAGTTAATAAATTCTTAAGGGCTTAAGAAGTGTTGAATTTGACTTGGAAGATGAAATCTCGACATAGAGCCTATGGTTGTCTTATAAATTTATTTTTTTGATTTGAAATTGTTTGATTAATGGTATGAATGAGTTGAGGAGATATGACTCTTCAAGTATAAACTTCTACGGCCTTTTTATTAGAAGAATACTGCATAGAGAATAATCGACTCTTTAGAACGAGAAAAATTTGCGTGCGTAAGACGTACGTAACGGCGCTGCGTACATAATGGAGGCTATATTCATGTTATATCTACATTATATTTGTGTTATATAATCTGTAACCTCCATGTAACCTCTATATAATCTACCTTAACCTACCTGAACTTACAAATAAATTTCGCGCTTCTGTTTTCACATATCTATAGTTTACATGTAGGTTACATGGAAGTTACATGAAGGTTACCGGGGATATAACACGAATATAATATCGATATAATGTGAATATAATCTTCATTATGTACGTAGCGCTACGTACGTCTTACGTATGCAAATTTTTTCCCTTTAGAATGAGCCAATTATTAGGACCAACTCAGAAAAGGGTGATTTTTTTTTCATTCAAAAATTATCTTTTAACATATTATGTTGTGGGAGACATTTTTATAATTTTCTTAGAATATTCTTGAAGATTATTATATATATATATATATTTTTTGCTTTAAACAAAATCATAGAATATTCGTTTTTTACTATATTTATTTTTTTAAGGAAAATAATGTCAATAGTAGGGGACCATATTGCCCCGGTGGCATCTTTTCCATCGAATCCTTATATATATATATATCATGAAAGTTTTGGTGGTTTTTGCTCACACCATGCAAACACATATACTGTATATGCAAGACTTTATACTCAATACTTCTTTCTTGAAAGACACTCTCAATCGGTAGGCCAAAATGGCTTACATAAACATTAATTTTATTAAGCCACCCACATGTTCTATGCAAATATTAAATTTTAGGTTTTAGATATGTAAATACATTAGTAGATACATAAAAATAGTTTGTTATGCCTCTTAAAATTTTTGTTATTATTATTATTTTTTTATTAATATTAATGCACAAATTAACAAGTGAAACTGAGTTCAATCAAAGGCTGGAGAATAAATACATACTATATTATACTTGTTTAAATGCCAATCAGTAGGCTACATGAATCCATTTTCTCCATTGCATCCTATTGAGTGTCATATTATCATTTAATTTTAATAAATTAAGATAATTTTTTTACACAAGATGCCCAAGTTTTTCTAGGTCTACCTCTGCCTTTTGCCCAAGTTTTTCAAGATGCCCAAGTTTTTCTAGGTCTACCTCTGCCTTTCTCAACATAAGTCAAATCTAAAACATTTACTCTGCTGATCGGATCATAAGATAGTCGACATTTAATATGACCAAACCATCTAAGAAGGCTCTTTCTAATTTTGTCTGTCACTGAAGCTACATCAACTTTGTCACGAATATATTCATTTTGCATTTTGTCTCTACGTGTAAAGCCACTCATCCACCTAAGCATTCTCATCTCGACAACACTTAACCTAATTTTATGCTTCTCATTTAAAGTCCAACATTCAACGCCCTTGAGCATTTAGAGCATTGCAGGTTTAGAGCATTGCAGGTTTCACCACCATCTTATAAAAATTTCCTTTCAGTTTAAGCAATATATTTCTATCACACAATACGCCATAAGCATTCCTCCATAGTCACACTTCAACCAAACAACTTGAATTCTATTAACAACATCTCCATCTATATCACCATCATTTTGAACAACAAACACGAGATATTTAAAGCATTCACACCTTTTAATAATTTGATCACCCATAGTTACAACCCTGTGAGTAGAGATATTATTACTAAAACTACATTCAATGTATTCAATTTTAGTTCTACTCAAACGAAGGCTTTTAGACTCAACTCAACTATAGACCTCCATAATTCAAGTTTTTCCTGAGCTTTTTCTCTAGTCTTATCCACGAGAAGGATATTATCAGCAAAAAGCAGACACCAAGCTACATCCTCCTATAAATGTACAATAAGACCATCCATAACTAAAGCAAAAGGATATGGGCTTAAAGTCGAACCCTGATGTAATCCAACAGAAATAGGAAAATATTTGGTCAATCCTCCTTCAGTTCGAACACAAGTAACAACTCTAGCATACATATCTTTAATGACTTGAATATAAGTCATATCAACAACACCTTTCTTCTTAAGAACACTCCAATGGATATCTCTTGGAACCTTATCGTAAGCTTTTTCTAAATCAATAAAAATCAAATTTAGATCCATCCTCCTCCTTATCACAGAACTCCTACAACAAAACTCTCAATAAATGTATAACTTCCATAATAGACCAGCCTGGCATAAATCCAAATTGATTATGAGAAATCTTTGTAATACGTCTTAAATTATATTCAATTACCTTCTCCCATAATTTTAAGCATAACACATCGACTTAATTCCTCTATAATTTTAACACACTTATGCATCCACTTTATTCTTAAAAATGGGGACCAAAATAATCTTCCTCTACTCCTCAGACACCTTTTTAATTTTTAAAATAATATTAAAGAGTTTAGTAAGCCAAGAAACTCTCAAATCTCCTAAAAATTTCCACACTTCAATTGTGATACATTAGGTCTTACAGACTTTCTATTATTGGTTTTATTTAAAGCCTTCTCAATTTTGTTTTACTAATACGAAGGTAAAAATGATATATTTTATTATTATTAACAATATTTAAATCACTAAGGTTGATTATATTTTCAGAAACTTCATTCAAAAATTTATAAAATCAACTCAACAACTTATGTTGAATATCTTTTTATAAGAAAATTACTTTTTGATTTTCATCTTTAATACACTTTAGTTAAATCTTTATTTTTTTCTCTTTGTTTTACTAGTTTATACATATATTGTTCACCAACTTTAGTATCTAATTTATTATAAAGATCACTAAAAGCAGAATTTAGCATCACAATTTGTTCTCTTGGCCTCTCTACGGGTCATTTTATATTTTTCTAAGTTCTCTAAGCTTCTATATTTAAACAAATTTTTATAAAATAATTTAATATATTTTATCTTTTTTTGCACATTATTATTCCACCACTAATTATTTTTATTTATAAAATCTATTTCTTTTGATTATTCAAGCACATCTTTTATCACTTGTTTGATAATGTTTGTTAGTTTATCCCACATAGAATTTAATTCTTCATAAACATCCCAAATCTTGAAATCTTGAATTTTACTAGTAAAAATTATTTATTTGTCTTTTAGATTCCTCATCTAATTCTACGATAATAATTCCTAGTATTCTTTATTGTAAAAATTTTGATAAAAAAATCTAGAACTTATAATCGATGTTGAATACTTAAATCATCACTTGAAATGATCTTACACGATCTTTATATTCCCGATGATCACTCTTCTCATAAGAAAATAATCAATCCTAAACCCTAAACTATTATTTTTAAATGATGGATGATAAATTGAGTGAGTAGGTTGAATAATATTCCACAAAAATAATGGATCACATGCAGTTGCAAAGTCATTCCACAAAAATAATAGTCTCATTTAATTTTTGTGCCTTCAATTCTTTCAAAATTAAGGACCTTTCTCCTATTATGCTTAAATTACTTCTAATGTCACTTGAGGCCCAATATATTTTTTTGAGGTTTTTAAATGTTAATCATTCAAAATATTAAACATAGTACTTTAATTATCCAAAATTTAAATCTAATATTTTAATCTCATTTTTCATTACAATCAGCCTCCTAAATTCATTCATGCATAAATAAGCAAATATTAAATTCATAAATGAAGGGTACAATTTTATCAAAGAGCTTGTTAAAATTTCTTATTTGATAAATTTTTTATTAAAATATAGTTTGATGTTGTTGAATGTAGCTTAAAAGCAAAAAACTTTAATTAATTAATCATGTCATAAACTCATTACCAAAAGAAAGGGATAATTATATAGAAGGCACCCAAAACATTGCTATTTACAAATCAAAGAACCTAAATAACTTTTTTTAAAACTATGAAACAGATGCATTTACGAGTGTCACGTGCCACGATTAAATTATTGTGAATGTAATAAAAATGAAGAACATGGGTTGAAGTTTTATCATGATCTTTAATCTTTGAGTGAGAATGAAAAATAAATGGAAGAAAATGCTTAATTTGTAAATATCAATATTTTGGGTGGGTGCCCTGTCAAATAATAATAATAATTAAAATTAAAATTTAATCCGAATATTCTAATCCAAATTTTCGGAAAAAAGCAAACATTTTTAATTCCAATGTTTCCAACGGTTAGTACAATCCGAAAATAGCACTGCTTCGATCGTTAGAAAAACGACGAGCCATACAAGTACCCAACCAAACGTCAGAAGAGAGCTTGCATCAGCGAAATTTAAAAGGCGAAATTTAAAAGGAAAAAAAAAAAAATCATTTTTTGCCAGAAAAGTATTTCTGTAAAAAATCCACGAAATAACGGCTACATAGAAAAATCTGGATTTTTTATCATAAATATGATATGAATTTCTGTAAAGGATTCATGCTGGAAAACAACTGACCCACCTCGATCACAACTCGAAATATGGAAACAAATCAACGTCGCAATAAAGTTCAGAAAAAAATAAAATTATTGAAAAGAAGATGTGGAAGATCAGAAGTTCAATTTTGTTTTTTTGGAACAAAAAGACTATTCATAACTATATTGCAGAAAACCCAGCAAAGAGTTCCAGCTATATCCAAATCTAACAAAAACAAAAACAAAAACAAAAACAAAAAAAGGGAAGAAACGATCTTCCCATGATATATGATAATTAAAGGCAGGATGAACTTACCAGCAAATCAGTTTTTCCTGCTCTGCACCCGAATCATCAAAACGATTGAGCCATCTATCTTCATAATCACAATCGAATCGCTATACCTTGCAGAAACGATGAAACAAACGGAGATAATTTATTCGTTTTTTCAAAGCGTCAAGGTTGATTCAACTATCCAGGTTTCCTCAGCCTAAACTGATCATAGTTCTTCTTTATGAAATCTTCAAATAGCTGATTCATGTCGTCTTTGCCCTCCGATAACGCACAGTCGCCGCTTACTGTCATCTCCGACAATCGGCCCGTCTGTTTTCCGGCTATCAGAGGCGGCGATGGAGATCTCTCCCATCGGCCGATCTTTCTGGTGATGGAATTCCAAGTAGCGTCCAGAGAATCGACGATCTCCTCTTTTCCCTTAGGAAATGTGGTTGTCAATCCGGAATCAGGTAAGTTAAGGCCGTCTGAAGAAGAAGAAGCAGTTGATTTCTCTTCAGATACTGTCGTTATGCAGGACGATTCGGAAGCCGGTGCTGGAGAGGGTTTCTCTTCTGCAGAATCCGTCAATATATAATTTTCGGTAGGAATCGATGGGGTTTTTCTAGAATCGTCCATCGATGTCTTCCGGAAAACTTGGGGATTAAGAGGAGAGACGAGATCTTGAGATCGGAGAGAAACAACATCAGAGTTAAAGGGGTTTTCCTCTTCCGGCATGCGATCGGAATGGATTACTCGGTTTTCGGAGAGCTTCCAGATCGTGAGTATGATGAAGTTGACGGCGACGAAAAGATAAGGAGGAGCAGTCGAAGATCGCACGGAAACCCAAAGGTTGGAGATGGTGGATGCGAGTAGGTTGAAGAGGCAGGGGACTACGAACCAGGCGAAGGTTCCCGCAAAGAGAGTCCCGGCGAGGAGGACGGCGAGCCTGGTTGTTGAAAACAATTTCTTACCGGGAATACGGAGCAGGTGGAGCATCGCATTTACAGGAGGAAGATCTGAGGAGACAGAAAAAGAAGAAAAATTGAAGGGGGCTTACAGATCTGATACGAAATGCAAGAACAAGCGTTGTTGTGGGTTAGGGTTTTGAGTGGTAATTGGATGGTAATGGAGCTTACCCTTACCCATCCGATCGCTTCGAAGCAGAAGAGCGACAGAGATGAAACCCAAAAGATAAAAGGGGAAGGGAGAGAGAGAGAAGAGCGTTGGATATTTGAATTCGAGGCGACTTTTACCGGACGGTGAGGATGCTTCTTAGGAGAATCACGACCGTCGGAGGAGAATATAAAGTTTTATATTATGGCCCTTTTACATAAATACCCCTTAATTCCCATATAATTACATGTCGAACTTTACTTTCTTTTCATATTTATATATATCCCAAATCTTTTATTTCATATTAAAATATCACTATTTTCATTTTTATGTAGAGATACAAATAAGATGGACATGTATATAAAAATGAAAAATTAAGTAAATGTTAGATATGTGATTACATGAACATCGAGGGGTATGCATGTAAATCTACGTAAGCAACATCATCACATTGCATCTAATTTTTTATTCATATATTACATACTAAAATATTGAGACAATTAATTACATAACTGCCACCTAATTTCTATGTATTTCTTTATCTAATATTTAGGGGAGGAGTTGTTTGGGATCATATTTTTTTCCTTTTTTGTTTTAATTTTGTTTTATTAATGATTTGATTTGAAAAAAAAAACATATATGATATATTTAATTAATATATTTAGAAACCAATATATATATATATATATATATATATATATATATATATATATATATATATATTAAGCAAATATGTTTTAAAAAATAACTTTGAAATTTATAATTTCTCTATATAAGTAATAAAAAAATTTTAATTTATATTCGGTGATTTTGATCATCCTAAAAAAATATGATATATAAACATAAACTTTATTTTTCATATTTATGTCACCCAAATAAAATCAATGTTTCAACTTTTTTTAAAAAAAAGACAGACAAACTTTTCATGCATGGCAAATATAGAAAAATTGAAGTTGAGATGCCAAATATATAAATACATAAATATTAATTGGTATGCATGTAAAGCTTGCTAAAATATAATGATTAAATATATATAGCACTAAAAAATTACATTAAACTCATCTTTAATCATTCCCCTTATGTCCTGAATTTTTGGTGACAATTGATACTTCTCCAGCATATCTCCATCATCTTGCATGAATCTCAAGACATCAAATCTATACGACAAAAAATGTCGAAGTAGAGGGAATAAAGGGACCCTTCCCTCAATTCTTTTTACAAAAATTTCAAAACTTATTTTACTTTGTCTTAATTTTCTCATTAACTTGGCTCTAACTCTCGAGTGCGATTCACAAAGGCCAACATTAATCGAACACTAGTTCTAATACAGTGTTTATTTTTAAAATTTTAAAAAATAAATACATGGTCATTTAAGCTATGATAATATTACCACTAAATTTAAAATAATTATACTTGATGCGTGCTAGAAAATTCGCGGCGGTAGATTAATGGATTATCGTCTTAGCGTTGCGCGTTGCGCGAGGATTCAGAGGATTCAGCACACACTCAGATAAAAATGAATCAAGTTGTGATAACACCAGAAGTTTTTAAGTGGAAAACATGTAAAGGTGAAAAACCACAGGGTCTAGTCTAGTTGTAAAAATCCACTATAAATTGAAGATTACAGATGTCTCTTGTCCCACAGGAGGGAAAATGTTACTAGCTTTCCAAGTTACAACGTCGACTACAACGTCGCCTGACGAGGTCTAATCAGTGGTGGTTGACGGAGGTCGGCGGTGATCAACGGTAGTCGGCGACAATTAGCGGTGGTCAACAAAGGTCGGCGGTCGTTGGCGACGGTCAGTGGTGGTCGACGGCGATCGACGATGGCGAGGATGGTCTTGGACCTGAGCTCCTTCTCCCGGTTAGTGGTGGTCAACGGCGATCGACGATGGCGAGAATGATTTTGGACATGAGCTCCTTCTCAAAGCCCCAAGTTCTCTCTTCAGTCTCCTCTCTTTCAGTCTCCTCCTTTTCATGTGAGGGATAAGACTCTATTTATAGTGTTTTGAGTGCAATTAATGCAGGAATATGAACCATTTTGATCGGACTGTCTGGAGAGCTTTCTTTGATCATATGATGTTTGATGGACATTTGAGTGTCTTAACAATGTGGGAATTGAGCAATATTGGGCTTGTTGGATTCGTCTTTTTGAGACGCTCGATTCGACTATGAACTCGCTAGATTTGAAATTCGTTTGACTTTCAAATACCTCCGAAAACCCTCCAATAGTGGTTTAATGACTTGATCCGGGCTTGATTTCTCGGAATGGACTAACTTTCATATCATTATGTCCATCTCATCGAACCGATCAGTTTGACTATAAATTTGCTGAAATCGGAGCTCCGGTTGACTCTTAAGGGTTCAGGGTTTGACCAAGAGAACTCAAATTTGGTTATTATAACTTATGGATAAAATATACATAATCTAATATAGCTTCTAATAATTTTAGCTAAAATTAAAAGAACATTACTCCTAAAAGTTATATATAGTCCTTCATTTTTTCACATATAAGAGACTAAATCTAAAATTAGAGAGAGAATATAGGCTTGAAGAATTTCATTGCACTTTCCAACATTGATACCAATGATTGCAATCAACAATTAGTACTACTATCGCTCAAGTTTTATCGCCCTACCTCCTTCACCTAGAATTGTTTTGTTGGCTAATATATATCCTCTAACCATCGTTAATGTCCTTCTCAATATTATCCACTATATTCATAAGAAGATAATCCCATATTTTATAATTAAGTGAGATATAGAATATTAGTAATCTTGTTTATATTCTAAATTATTTCAAAAGGGTCGGCCCCATAAATTTATTTATTTAAATAATTGGTGCCATCTCTAAATTTTTTTATCAATATTCTGTAGGATCATTATACAAAACTAAAATGTTACTATCAAAATATTCTACAAAATAATATTTTAATAACTTTTGTCGTAAACTTTATGTACATTCCACAAACAGTCATCTAATAGCTAAAAGCCACAATTAATAATTCAGTCATGCACAACATAGCCCAGCTAGTAAGGACCACCCTGCTTGATTATAGAGAATAATTTTTACAGGATAAAAGAAAAACAGTCTTGCTCTTCCAAAATATAATGGAGTCTTTCAAACTACTTATACTTGAGTGACAAATATGGGTGATCAAGCTTAATGATGGTAAAGGTGCTACTACACTATGAGAAGTAAATGTGTAAAATCTAGTTGTGTTAAAAGCTATGATAGCTCTTAAGAGGAATAAGCTATTTCAATGCATGATTAGCCATTTTGAATAAAATGATGACCCACATGCAAAGATGTGTTTGGTTGTGTAGTTTCACCAACTATCTAATTTGCTTAACATATTGTTGTGGGGAAGTTTCATTAAGGACTAGATAATGTTGATGTAATAATCCAACATCATGCCATACATACATATATATATATACATACATATATATATATACATACATATATATATATATATATATATATATATAACAAATTGCTACTGATTAATAGACCACGAACCGAATCTTGCTATTTACAAATCAACCTCTCATCTGTCCATCTCTTCTGAGATGATAATTGCAACCAGCATCCAATGTGATTCATTGGAAATACGAGAAAGTGATAAAAAATATATATGAATAAAATGAGAGTGAGGCTATCAATCATCCTCATTCAAAATTATCCAAAATAATATTTATCCCCATCATTTATAAATTTAATCATAATAATCTTTATTTATTATATTTGTCATATAAAAATGCAAAAAAACGTCTTTAAAATCCTTGCAAAAATTAAGATTATGAAGACATATATGAAATGTTTTACTATGTAAAACAAAATTTATTATTAACTTTGTAATGCCGACGACTTATCATTAGGGCTGTGAGAAAAGCTCGTCGTTCGCCAACAGTTCGTGTTCGATTCGTTCATAAGTACACGAGACGAACGTGAACAATTTTTTTTTTTTTGTTCGGTTAGTTAAACGAACCAAACATAAACAGTGATGTGTTCGTTCGTGTTCGATAATAATATATTAATATACTATATTAGTAATATACTAATATAGATATTATATATTTATATAATATAAGTTATATAATTAATATAATATATTATTTTTATATATTAATATTAGGGATGTCAAACTGGCTCGTTGTTCGTGAACAGCTCGTGTTCGGCTCCTTCGTTAAAAAACGAACACGAACAGTGACTTTACGAACAATTTCGAACACGAGCTTATTTCAAAAAAAATCAAATTTCAAACGAACCGAATACGACCATAAGCTCTGTTCGTTCTTGTTAGGTTTGCTTACACCTCTACTTATCATAATCAAAATAAGTTTTTTTAAAAATATATATATAATTGATTATTTATGTATTGTATTTATTTTTAAAATAAATTGAATAATTCAGAAAATAAATGTTAATTAAATAACACAAGAAATTCTCCACAACCACCCATTAAATATGTTTGACTCCCCGCCAACCTATGTGGTTAAGTAACATGCAGAGGTTAACTATACATTAGTAAAAAACATTGCTAGATAGGTAGGGGCATATCAAGTAATTACGAACATTTATAAATCTAAATTAAATCATGATTAAAGATATGGAAATGGATTCTAATTATGTTGGGAAGGTAAAGTGTCACGCCATCTTTTAGTTTGGGCGTTTGTTTTTGGCATCCACACCCATAATCAATGATGCATGGATTTCTTAAAAAGAAAAATTAACAATAAATTAATATTCCTCTTCAAGACAATAAATTAATCAATGAACCATAAGTAACAATACATGAACTCCACAAATATAAAAAAATGGGAAAAAAATCATTATATATATATATATATTATAAATTATGTAGACAGTCCAAAAAGAATTCCACTTTGTTTGGGACAGCTACAGCCATAAAAAGAAGCAATTGTAAAGCTGCTGAAGAAATTGTTCAAAAAATTATAGTGCTTATTACAAATTTTTTCTTTTGAAAAAGTACTTTAGCTTTTTGGCAGTCATCATCTATCGCAGGTAGCTGAGTCTAGTGGTAAAATTGTTGTTTTTAACTGTAATTTTTTTTAAAAATGCAGCTAAAACACAATTTTGTCAAATAAGAAAAACTACGGTGCAGCATCAT